TGGTGGTGTGATGTCAAGCGCAAGGTGCAGGTAGGCAGGATGCAGTAAGGAGATGGTTATGTGTGGAGTTAAGCTGGATATGGGAGAGAGGAGAGAGGAACAGAAGCCAAAATACATCCAAACAAGCAAAAAAGAATGCTGGGGGAGCTTGCCGTTGGAATGGAGAGATGAGAGATGGCTGTTTTGTCTCCCGCTGGAAGCTCCGTGAGGCTGCTTTCTCCTACCCCCATTTGCTGGTCTCTGATAGGAGTCCAAGATGGTGGATCCGCACTGCTTTAGCTTGTAGGGGACCTCTGCATGAATCTCTCCTCGCTCTCTGTTCTCTGTCAGTATTCTCACTCCATTTGGTTCTTGGCTGAGTTCTTTATCTCTACATTTGATGTTTTAGGGTCAGGATTGTTGTATTCTCTGTTTGGCTTAGTTTTTCGGATCTTTGCTGAGGAGGGACGGCATGGTGCTTCTTTCTAGAGTGCCATTTTGCCAGTGAGTATGTAGTCATATCTTTTAAGAATTTTGAAAGAATTTCAGTTCCATGCAAACATACTTAAAAATAAAATTCATGAAAATAAAATTCAAATTCAGTATGAAAAAGAAATCTTGTCAGTCACTGTGTACTCACCCCCAAACCATCACTGGTTTCTCATTAGAAAGGGAGTAGTTTTTGATCCGCATTGTAGATCTGACACAAGTACTTATCTTTTGTTGATTGAGCAACACTCTTCACTGGTTCTGGAGGCCTGAGTAGACTGTCTACCACTGGGTCTCTCTTAGTGTGGAAAATGCCTCCCAATAACCACTGCTTGCCGCACTGCGCACACCAGCCGATCTGGCCTGAAGGACACCAGCTCCCTCCAAATCAGGTCTGGTAACTCTTTCCTGCTTCTGAACTACCTCTCCCTCCCCCTGCCACTCAGTCCGATTCCTCAACTTTGCCTTTAATGTTCAGGGTTCCTAGATTGTCATGTATAATTGATTCACTTGTTTTTTCAGGTCTTTGTTGTAAGAGGGACCACTGGAAGCATCTGACTACTCTGAAATCTTGGACCTGTCTCCCAGTGTTAAATTCTTAAAATTGAACATTAGCCAGTGTCCCAAGAGTAAGTTCAGTGAGATAATTCATATATGTCTTAGTCATCTAGTGCTGCTACAACAGAAATACCACAAGTGGATGGCTTTAACCAAGAGAAATGTATTTCTTCACAGTAAAGTAGACTAAAAGTCCAAATTCAGAGCATCAGCTCCAGGGTAAGGCTTTCTCTCTCTGTTGGCTTTCTCATCAATGTTGCCCGGACTAGTAGCTCCTCCACACAGGGACCCCGGGTCCAAAGTACACGCTCTGCTCCTGGCACTGCTTTCTTGGTGGTATGAGGTCCTCCCTGTCTCTCTGCTCACTTCTCTTTTTTATATCTCATGAGATTGCCTCAGAACGCAGTCCAATCTTGTATATAGAGCCCTGACTTACTAACACAACTGCCACCCATCCTCCCTCATTAACATCATACAGGCAGGATTTACAACATATAGGAAAATCACAAAATACCAGCAATCATGGCCCAGCGAAATTGATACACACATTTTTCAGGGAACATAATTCAATCCATGACAATATACAATCAAGGAAATTGTGTTGGTCATCCAGAAATAAGAGTATATGTATTGTCTGTGTATCTGTGTAAATGGTTGTTAAAACCAATGCCATGTTACCTCCAGACAAACTGATAGCTGGTTTCTGTTACCACTGAACGGACTTAGTAAGGGTAAATCTTCATAATACTCCTAAGAAGTAAGTAGACAGTGGAGACTCACAGATGTTAAATAAATTGCCGGTTCATAAAATTTTCATAGTCTATAAATTTTTAGTGGGATTATCAGTCAATCACATTTTTTACAATTACATTTCAATACAAACACACAAATATTCTCTCCTGCCTAAGTAGTGGAGTCCCTGGGTAATGCAAATGGTTAAGCTCTAGATTATTAGCCAGAAGTTTGGCTCTTTGAACCGACACAGAGCACCACAAAGAGACTGGTCTGACAGTCTGCTTCTGAAATATCACAGTCTTGAAAACCTTATGGAGAAATTCTACTCTGCACACATGGTGTCGCCATGAGTCAGAATTGACCTGACAGCATTTAACAACACCAACAGCATAGGAAGTAGTATTTATTTAGATAAGATAAAACCAAAAAAAAAACAAACCATTGCTGTCAAGTGAATTCCTACTCATAGCGACCCTATAGGACAGAGTAGAACTGCCCCATTGAGTTTCCAAGGAGTGGCTGATGGATTTGAAATGCCAACCTTTTGGTTACCAGCTGAGCCCTTAACCACTGTGCAACCAGGGCCCTTAGATAAGATAATATAGAATTTGTTGCTATATTTGTTTCCTTTAATCCAAGTGTGAAAATCGCTTGGGTAGCTTATAATTAAGCTAACTTTCTACAAAAATTTTCAAACAATAATAGGAGGAAGTAATTTTCATTCAAGGATAGAGTCGTTTTTAACAAAGTAAAAACAAAACGTAACAAAAAGAGCATTATAAATATTATTTCACTGAACTCAGCCATTTGTTCTCTTCTTGCAGAAAGTATCCTAGATGGTCAGTTTTATTTTAGTCACCTTGTAGAGCTGAAAATGGAGAATACGGAGTTAAGCAATCATCTTTTTTGTTTATGGGATCAGCATGATATACCTATCCTCTTCACTATGTTGGATGTTATATTTGTGTACTTAATAGATGAAACATGGGCAAATTAGAACATTGTAATCAAAATTCCATATATTATATTCTGATCCATGAAACAGAATGGTTAAAAAAATTTAGAGAAATTTTTAAAAAGGTGACATAAGTTAGGCAATAATTTGAACATTATTAATGTTTTCTCACATACTCTTCAAGATAAGTTGTTGTAATTGCATTTTTTTGTGGTAAAAAATATATATAAAACAAAACATTTGCCAATTCAAAACTTGCACGTGTTCAATTCAGTGACTGAATATGTTCATTATGCTGCACAACCATTGTCACTATCCTCTTCCAATTTTCAACCACCTTTAACAGAAACTCAGTGCCCCTTATGCATAAGCTTTGATCTCTATATATTTGTCTATTTTATGTAAGTGGGACCATAAAATATTTGTCTTTTGTGAATGACTTATTTCCCTCAGCATAATGATTTGAAGGTTAATCCATGTTCTGGTGATTGCATTTTGATGTCTTTCAAGGATATGTATCTTGAAGTTTTCTGGGTGAGTGTGGTCAGTAGAATTCTAAGATGACCCTTATGATCTCCATCCCCTGGTGTTACTCCCATGATTAGGTTACATTATATAGCAAAAGTTAAATGATTCTGCAGATTTAATTTATCTCCCAGATGAGTTGATTTACTGATTATTTAATTCATAATGAAAAGGGAAATTACCCTGAGTGAGCTAAATTTAACTAGTTGGAAGCCCTTTTAAAAAAAGACTTAGGACTTCCCTGAGGTCAGAAAAACTCTCCTTCTAGGCTTGAGGAAGCAACATGCCATGAGTTCTACAGCTGTAAAGAAATAAATTCTTTCAACAACCATGTGAGTTTGGAAGATAACACCAAGTGTCAGATAAAACTGTAGTCCCAGCTAACACCTAAATTGTAGTTATGTGAGAAGCTAAGCAGAAGATCCTGCTAAGCTGTGCCTGGACTTCTGACACACAGAAACTGTGAGAAAAGAAATGATTGCTACTTTAAGCTGCTATGTTTGTGGTAATTTTTTAAAGTAGCAAAAGCCAACTAATACAGTGGGAATGTTACAACAGAGTTTTAACAACACAGTTAACATTCAAATTAGAATATAGTGGTTTTCCTCATACAAATATAAGAATCTCCAGAATTGGACTAAAATTCGTATAACTATCATCTCAATTATGTCCGAGATGACACGTATGTAATTTATGGAAAATACATAGATTTCAGAAAACCTAGACTTTTCTATTAAAAATTTTTCCATACTATTGCAATAGATGATGCATTTAAAGATCAGGATATCTAAAGATGGAAATCCAGACATAGAGGAGTCAAATTCACATTTCAAAATCCACATATGTGACAGTATGTGAAGCAAGAACATAAATGGGGGCTTGCCAAACCTCCATCCTAAAAAAAGGTAGTGTTCGTATAAGATAAGCTCAATATACCTTCCTCTAATCTAATAGCTCTCTTTTCTCCATCTGGTTAAGTCACACTGATTTTTATTATGATCTTATAAGAACATCTACAATTTTGTACGTAATTAGCTTATCTGTTTATTACAACAAAGGGGTCAGTTCAAAGTACGACATAGGACTTAGTAGAATTCTGTTAACTGTTGTTGTTGGGTGCTGTAGGTTGATTTTGACTCATATTGACCTCGTGAGACAGAGTAGAACTGCCTAACAGGGTTTTCTAGGCTATAATCTTTATGGGAGAAGATTGCCAGCTCTCTCTCCAGCAGAGCAGCTCAGTGAGTTCGAACTGCTAACTCCTTAACAATTGCGCCTGCAGGGCTCCTTCAGAATTCTGTTTAGCCATGGTTAAATCTACTACATGTTAAAAGACAAAACCAAACCAAACCTGTTGCTATGGAGTCTTTTCCAACTCATGGCAACTCCATAGTAAAAGATACACAATTTTAATCAGTGCAATAAAATTCTGTGATATTATGATGGGCAAATACCTCTTACTTCTTAACTGGTATTATGTAAACCAAAATATACAGTTATACATTTTCTCTTGTAACAAAAATTTGCTTATATCCATAACTTCAATTTGCCATAATAAAAATATGAAATACATGAATAAACCAGCATTCAAACAGTTTTTAGCTTCTAAATCATGTGTCTGCCTATAAATATTTTATTACAAAGATGGATAAGTATTGGGTGCTAAACTGTATTAGTTGGATACATAAACTTAGGCATAAATTAAAAAATGTAGAGAAAAGCACAGCATGAAGATAATTAAGCAAGTTACTCTCCAGACCTACCCTTCCCTAATACCTTCATTTTTGGTCATTTCTTTGTTGCGGAGGCTATGGATGAGAGGATTCAATGTAGGAATGAGAAAGGTATAGAAGGCTGATATCATTTTGTCCTGAGTTGGGGAACTATCAGAAGTGGGCCGCATGTATATGAACATGGCTGCTCCATAGTACATCCCCACCACCATGAGGTGGGAGGAACACATAGGGAAAGCCTTGCAACGACACTCACCAGACCCCATGCTAATGACAGCCAGAAGGACACGAGTATAGGAAGCAATGATGACTGCTACAGGTAAAAGAAGCATGATTATACAGCTGATAAATATCATCCTTTCAAATGTTGAGGTGTCAGTGCATGAGAGAGTGAGAAGGGCAGGAACATTACAGAAGAAGTGAGGTATTTCCCGGGCACCACAATATGAGAAGGACAAGGCAACTGCAACTTCAGTTATACCATCAAAAGAGCCAAGAATCCAGGAAGAGGCAGCCATGAGACCACAGATTTTCTGGCTGATGAGAATTGGGTATCTTAATGGATGACAAATGGTAACATAGCGGTCATAGGCCATGACAACCAACAGGAAACATTCAGCTCCAAGCAGGGACACATAGAAAAATATCTGGGTTCCACAACCTGCCACAGAGATGGATTTCCTGCCGGACAAGTAGTGGAGGGCCATCTTAGGTACTGTGGTGCAGATAAGCATGAGGTCTATGAGACAGAGTTGGCTGAGGAGGAAGTACATGGGGGTGTGGAGCTGGGAGTCCAGGTAAATAAGGAGAACCATGGCAGTATTTCCTGCGAAGGCCACTGTGAAGATGCCCAGGCCAGAGAGAAAAGGAAGGTGTGGGCGGGGCTGTGATTGAAGATTCCGAAGGATGAAGTCAGACTTGAAGGTCTGATTCTCCCATGCCATCAGGAATAAATTCACTGTGGAGAATACAACATGTGAGACATGGCCAGGATTGTATAATGGAAATATAAAGGGCTTCATGCCTAGATCGCAACATCTAAAAGTTGTCTAAGTATGGAAAAAATTTTTTCTCCTGGCATCGATTTTCTCATTTGTAGACTAGAGATAATAAGGCTCATTTTTAAGCTTGATATGATTTTTAAATGTAAAGTAATAGCTAACAGACTTAATAGCTCATAGTAAGAACAAAAAATTTTTCTCAAGAGGCACGTAATCTACTTTAAGCAACAATTCCACTTAAACGTGTTATGTGGCTCATTCCTTAACAGTCTCTTTACAAGACATATGAGGATTCATGAATTGCTTGGAAGTCAATGATATTTTTCATTATGTTCTTCCACTGAATTCAGCATGTTGTTGTTAGCTGCCTGCTGTCAAGTCTGTTCTGACTCATGGCAACCCCATTTGTTCAGAGTGGAACTGTGCCATAGGATTTTCAAGGCTCTAACTGGCAGATTGCCAGTCCTGTCTTCCAAGGTGCCTCTGAGTGGGTTCCAACTGCAAACCTTTCAGCTAATAGTTGAGCACTTAACCATTTGTACCAACCAGTAACTCCACATATCATAGTCATCTAATAGTCATATAAATTTTGTTTATCAAAGTGTATATTGAAGTGCTGATTAGCAGCATTGAGAAAATTTTACTGTTGTTCATTAACATATAGTCAAATGCGAGTAAACAGAGGAAACTGAGAAATCCACAGTCAGAAATCCAATTGATACTTCTAATAATGATGAATTGTAGTGGAAGGTGATTTTCGTGGATATGCTCTTCCCTCACTATATCTTTAAAAATGAGATCTGTTTATGATGCCGTCAGGTATAGAGATCATTTTACTGGAAAAGCAGACTAGAAGAGAGCATAGTTAAACACCTGGTCTTGAATGTATTAGCTTTGTGACCTTGGGCAAGTTATTAACTTTTTCAAGCTTTGTTTTCAACACTAGTAAATGTGTCTATTTATAATACCTATGGAGCCCTGGTGGCCCAGTGGTTAACAGCTATGGCCAGCTATGGCTGTTAACCACAATGTAGGCAGTTCAAATCCACCAGCTGCTCCCTGGAACCCCTATGGGGCATTTCTACTCTGTCCTATAGAGTCGCTATGAGTCAGAATTGACTTGACAGAAATTTTTTTTTTTTTTATCTATAAGATGTTATGAAGACTAAATGAGGTAATATTTATAACATGTTAGAACATTACCTAGAATACAGTTAGCACTATATAAGTATTTTCAAATAAATAAAAACTATTGCATAGAAGAGAGACTATTCCTAATTAATCTCTAGACTATTCTAGTTCATGCAAAGTTAATCTATTCCATTTCCTGCAACAAGACACCTTTAAGAGGATTTCTTTGTGTTAATGGTAACGTCTTTTTAATACTCTGTTTTTATTTCTATTTTGTCTCCTTTTTCCTACCTCCATCTTTGCAGGGGCTTTCCCTGTATCCAGGCTGAATTCTGAGAGAAATGCAGCTGATGTTTGGTTCCAGGCTTTTTAAAAGAGTACTTCCACATAGCTCAGCCTAATTTATTGAAGTTCTACATTTTATCTGACAAAAACTCAGATTTAAAGCACCATTTTATTATGCCTTGTTTTGTCTGTTTTGTACTAATGCCTCTAGCAAATGCTATTATCTTAACATCACTTAAAACATCCACAATATTAGAATGAAAATTAAACATTACTTTAAAAAAATTATCATGCAAATAGGTATGAAAAAAATAAAAATAAGATCTGTGATTTTTAAACATTCAATAGTATTTCAACCAATGTGCATTATATTCTCTAACATGGGGTGGATTTTATTTTTTATAAAGCTTATTAAGACCCATTCTATGACTCTGAATGTGTATTAAGCATTTAGGCTGGCACAATACTTAAAAGTTTTGGTGGCTAGCATAAGTTTTACATGTGGACAAATGATATAAATTATGTTTAGAAATTGATGAAATATCTATGGGGTTAAAAACTATTGTTTCATATTAATTACTTCCTCTTTTAAAAAAATCAGTGAATACACTTATTTATTTAATTAGGAAAGACTTAGTTCTAATTCGGCAAAATCATATAATTGTCTCCTGATATTTCACCTTTTTTTTTTTTTTTTTTGCTTTTCATGGAAATAAAACATTTATCTAGTGAAGTGTGTTGAGGACAATCATCTTAAGCACATCATGGGATGTAGCTTGATAAATGTCTAAACCCATGTAACTGCCACCCAGACCAAAATATGGAATTTTCCAGAGTACTTTTGTTCTTCTTCATAGTCAGTTTCCAAGCCTTACATTTTGCCTGTCCTTGAATTGCACATGAATCATACAGTATGCACACTTCTGTGTGCACTGAAATGCAAGCTATCACATCCTTAGCCTTATCCCAGGTGCCTACTATCTCACCTGCTGAGCTCAGACCGTGCTGATCTCCTTGACTGTGGAACACACTTGGAATACAGTCCCCAGGACATTTGAACTAGCTGTTCCCTCTGATCTTCCTCTAGTTATTCCTTACAGCAAGTCCCTCATCTCTGCTGGGCTTCTTTATTCAAATGCTTCCTGCTTCACAAAGCTTTCATCACTCTCTGTAAACGTGCTCCCTACACACATCACCCTCTCTACTCTCTTCCCTATTTTTCCTCTATAGCATTTATCCACATCTAACACTCTACTTAAGCACCCATCTGTCAGTTTGTCATACTGTAGTGGCTTTCATGTTGCTGTGATGCTGGAAGCTATGTTACTAGTATCTCAAATACCACCAGTCTCACGTATAGTCAGGTAAGCAAGGGAGGCATGGGCTTAATTGTGCTTACCTTCTAATCTGTAGTGCACAATTTCACCTGTGTGTCACCACATCAAATACTAATCTGTAGTGCATGATTTATCCTAGGTTTCACCACATCAAACAGATTAGTAAGTACAATTGAGTCCATGCTTCCTGCAGCAGAGAAATTTCCAATAAACCTTTCGACCAAAGTAAAATGTCTGAAAGCCAAATCCTTTTTCTCTATTGCTTTTAACAGTAGAATCAGTTTAAATTTTTTCTTTGCAGATCTACCTGTCTTTGGGTCCATTACTTACTCAGCTGTGTCTATGAAAAAATAAAATTTGATTTGAAAGGGCCATGGAGTTAGTATTACCTAAAGTTTCCCAGGCAATTTAGGAGTTTATTTTAACACGGTGTTTATGGGAAATGAAACCTTGGGACCAAGGGGTTCTCATAAATTTCTGAGGCATCTGGTTAGGACTGTTTTACTTCAAACTGTGATGTTTTTTATGACCCCTCCGGAAGAATATGCAATATAAGCATTTATGCCTATGATTGAAGACCTCAGTAATTAATTCCTAAACCCAATACTGTAAGTTTTCCCCCATACCCAATTTTCCAATAGAATTCCATTCCCCACTTTCTAATCAACACTTCTTGTGACCTCAACCAAATACTAACCAATCAAATGATTTTATTATAATTCCTTTGTTCCTTGAACTATAGTTGTTCCTGTTAGAAGCTCTCTCACTGATGCCATTAATTTTCTGTTATGTGCACTGTTGTCTGTCTACATTCGAATGTTTTTTTTTTATTATTATTTTACTGAATAAATCCTCTTAACCTTATTTCAAAGACTGAGTGGATTTCTTCTCTACAGCAGTTCCTTGCTTACTGTAAACTGGTGCACCCCGAGCTTACTGGTTAATCCACCCCCATACATGTTGGACAGATTTCAGTAGATTTTCTAGACTAAGACAGACTAGAAAGAATGACCTGGTGATTTACTTCAGAAATTAGCCAATGAAAACTCTATGTACCACAACAGAATATGGTTCCATACAGTGCTAGAAGATGAGCTCCATAGGTTGGAAGTCACTACACGATAACCACAGCAATGGACTCAAACATACCAACAACGATCATGAAAATGGTGCAACACTGGACAATATTTTTTGTCCCTAAATGGCACAAAAGGTTAAGGTTCAAACCTCAGAGGCACCTCAGGAGACCGGCCTGGCCATCTGCTTCCAAAAGTTCACAGATTTGAAAAGTGATAAAGAGAAGTTCTACTCTACATACCTGGGGTAGCCAGGAGTCAAAATCAGCACAATGACAGCTAACAAGAACTCAGAGTCAGAGCTGACTTGATGACAACCAACAGCAACAACAACCCTACCAATTTATCTGTTTTTGTTTGTTTGTTTGTCTCTCCTCATTAGGATGTAAGTTCCACAGAGGCAGAGATGCAATGAGTAGTAATCAGTAGATTCTTGTTGACTCAAGGCATATTTATTATAGCGAATTCCTATGTTTTTTATTTTGTGGTTCAGATGCTGTACTTTTTGTTCTAGCCTGCTCCTGAAAAGCAGAAGAATGATTTAGGAGGTCTGTACATGATTGACAGGCTAAGCTTTATGTTGTGGCAATGAGGAACCAGTTGTTAACTGGTATGGCCAAGAGTCAAAAATGTAGGTGTTCCTGGGCTGCCTACATCTCTCTAATAGCCTTCACACTCCCCAGGGAAACTTGTCAATTTTATTCTAAAGCATGTTAGTATACTTCTGTTGCTTTTGGAGGCGGAGGGGTGGGGGGGAGTCAGGTGTACATCCCTGGCCTCATCCCTGGGGTTTCTTTAATTAAGAGTCCTTCACTTAATCTCACTTTCATTAAGAGTCCTTCACTTAATCTCACTATCCTTGCTGTAAGTTTAATTCTCATCCATTCTACCCAGAAGATTTCAAGGCACTCTCCACAATTACCAGGGAAGATTTGTTTCAAGCTATATCACAGCACTTTTGTTTACCTGTTTGAGCTGGGGATTTGTTTTATTTGTCCACAGGCTTCCATCTACATTCTCTCACCCTAATATTTCCTGATATCTCTAATCTACTGATTACTACTTCCTATAAATATTTTAAAAAATCCCTTTATCTTTGCTTTCTCAATGATGT